AAGAAACTTTTTGAGGCCAAAAAATACAAGTAGTACTTTTCTGAAATTTGAGCTTTCCAGACGCGGCGGGCCGATGCTAAAAACTTGGAAAAATACAGTAAGAAATCAGTTTGAGCAATAGTGGTTTCATGTTATCAGCTTTCAGAAACCAAGACGTGTTTATACAGCGATCTGATATAAATTAATGCCGTTTGCTATCAAGAAAGGCAGATTTAAGCTGTCAACTCCTGCCAAGTGCACCAGTCACGTGAAGTTGTCAAAGGGAGGGCAAAGCACTAATATTAAGAGAGAGTCTCCCTAAAACCGGTCCACTGCGTTTCGCGTCGGAAAATCAATTTCCTTTAAACTTTGCCCATGAATATATATTGGTCCAAAAGTAATTGAAACGGCATTAGTTTTTGGAAATATTTCAAAATAAGATTTTTCGGGACGAAAATCACTTCAGCGCTCGGCGGCCAATTTTTTGCAGTGGAGAAGAGTAAAAATAGAGCATATTGCCGAGTTTACCACTTCAAAGTTTTTCACCTTCAATGATTTTTTTCACTTCCCAGGTTTAAATTGGTCCTTAAAAGATGTAAAGCACACAATTTTGAACCTTCAAAAGCAACTCATATTTAATAAATATTTTTCGATTCACACCCACTTTGCCGTAGGTGGGAAAGGACTCAAAAATGCATACTTTTATCCTGGCACTGAGCAAAATCCCCACTTCTTCTTAACGAAATATCAATTTAGACCAATGAAATGAATGTTCAAAAACAGGGAAACATAAAAACATATTGTGATTTCAGCGATTTATGAGCACAGCCGATAGACGAAATATGCCTATTTTCTGTTATGACTGTTTACAATACACGAAAGGCGACCTTATTGCAAAGCCTCACTAACACAATTATTCATTACATGTATCAAGTTTTTGCGACTTTTAACACAATAAAACAGCATAGTTATGGAAAGAAAACCTTCAAGCCGTCGATATTTCGGCGCTCCATCCAATCAAGTATAAAATGTTCGAAAGGTCACATTTTCGTGAGTTAAATAATTTATGCAATATTCCTTTCCCTTGTATCGGTCGATGTGAACGCATTGTTATTCTGGAAATTCAGCAAAGGGAAAAGATTAATTTAGTTCATAAAAGTAACCAGGGTGGATAGAATAGTCCATTAACTTAGAAACGGCAACTGCATTGGAAGAGAGGATCATAGATCCAAATCCGTTTTCAGTTGTTTACACATGAACTCTAGCCTGTGTACAGCCGCCCCTCACCTCAAAAAAATCGGAAATCGATTTTTTTGAGGTGAGGGGCGGCTGTACACAGGCTAATGAACTCAGACATGAACTGATACCAACATGTATGACGCTGGTCACGCAATCTTATTGGAGAATAAGGAACTGGTTCGCTGCGAAAATATATATACCCGTCATAATAAAATTACCTCATTCATACAGTACTTTTCTTTTATTTTCACTGACAGGCTACAAAATCAAGTATATCATGCAAATGTGTTTACAGTAAGAGAAACTCATTCCACACTAAGTCTTCCACGGCGGGCAGTCTCCTGTCCATTCCGATCACTTACAAACAATCAGTTGTCGTTATACGTTTTTAATTTGTTTTGTTTTGTTTTTTTTTCTTTTGACAGTTCTGGTTGCCTGGTATTAGATACGCGTGTACCTGAGTGCGATCATACTCCCCGTTTCGTCTCAGGGAGGAGTTAGGGGTGGGGTGAGCTTGTTGAAACACTGTATCTTTGAAATTTGATTTCTCTGCCGGACTGGTGGTATATCTAGCTGGACAAAAGCTCTATTTTTTGGTTCGTTTTTGACTTAAAAACACCTTCTACACTAATCACTGATAATGTTTAGCGTCACACGTCCTAATGTACATGTGTAGCTGATGATTTTCCTGGACAGCAGCGAATTCACAACGAGCCCGCAGAAGGGAAATGGGGAGAGGCAGGGTGCAAGGGGCTCTTGGAAGGGGTATAGTCGGTACCCATCCTCTCGTGGTTTGACCGACAATGCGGTATTTCTTACCGGCAGTACTTGAACGAATCCGTTGACTAATCAGGGTGTGTTTGTCTACTAAATCCGGAGTATTAATCTTAAAAAAGGACATTTCATTTCCCTGCTAAAATACAAAAATGGATTATTGATCCGAATAATCCACAATGGCCTGGAGGATTCCTTGGATCATAACCAAATCCGGATACTTTGGATACATGATCAGAAGCGCTTTTTTACGTCTATGGATCCGAAATGAGCGAACATTGCCCGGCTGGCAGCGGTGACTCGAAACATTTTCAATACATACATCAGCTGTTTGACTACACCGCTCATCTTTACGGCCATTTTATACCCGAGGCGTGGATTAAGCGATCGGCTTGGTCCGTTTTATCAAGATGGTAAAATTGTAATACAAACAGGACCCGCATTGCTCTAGTTCACAAGGACAAAATTGCTACACAACGTCGCCGGCACGTCTTGCAAGCCAGAATGT